GTAGTTTTTTTTTATGAGATGATAATGTTTTGCATTTTAATTTGTAAGTAGAGCGGCTGTGCGTACAAATTTGCCTAATGAAATAAGTTGATTTCTAGAGGTAGAGGGTTGAAATTAGTTGCTTAGTTCTAAGTAGAAGTTTGATTTTTTTTTTCCTTGCTGAAATTATGCAGATGGGAGTAATTTCTCCCAGTAAACTTAGGATGAAACTATTAGGAGTTCACAACTCCAGAAGAAAAGAAGGAACAAGCAATTCATCTCGAACTTCCCCTTCGAAGCTCGAAGAACTCGAATATGCAAAGAATCACCTGCTAACTAATGATCTTGATGAAGAATCAACTCAGTCTTGTTCTGTAGAATTAAGACCAGTAGAAACTGACATGACCCATTTGAAATCTCACAACATTACGAGACAATTTCCTTACCAAAATCAAATTGGGGGCAGCTTGAGCTCAGTACATCCGATGAAGTCGATTGAAGACGACAATGGAAATGATAGCGGGTATGAAAATGGGAGCACTTCGAGTTTTGAGTTTCATCTTGCAGAGAGAGCCTCGAATCATCCGTTCTTTAGGAATTTGCCATCGAAGTGGAACGATGCAGAGAAATGGATACACCCTAATGCATTGAAGAAGAATGTGGTACACAGTCATGGTAATCGTCCGATGATTGGTGATTTGAAAAGGACTGAATCGATTAATTCAGGTTCGCAGAATGTCGCTGCGAAGTTTTCTTTTGTTCCTCAATGTTTGCAGCCGAAATTGTTGTTAGCAAATGGAATGAATGAATTGGGTGAGGTTCCTCGAGATATGGGAGATTTGAGAGGTCAATGTAGAATTGAGAAGGAAGAGGATCAGAAAGCATCTGTATCAGAAAAGCCTGTATCTCAAGTGACAGGTATTATTTTGCTTTCAGTACAATTGTTCGAGTCATTTTTTTCTACTAAAATTGAAGCATATATGCAATGTTTGTTACAATATATTTCTATATTAGGACAGCTGAACGCTACGCTTTTATTTTGATATGTTCAAGCACCATTAGATGTGGGTTCGGCGTTAAGTTTTGAAACTCTGCATAAATTTCTATTTGATATTTAGGAATTAGAGATTCCGTGCACAGATCACTTTAACCTTGAAATTTCTGGCGGAGCTTCAGCCAGTGCCTATCTTTCAGCATGATTGCATAATGAGTCTGAAACCTGATCCTTATGATTCCTTTAAAATATTCTCTTAAGCCCTTTCCGTCCAAATTCCTCATATTCCATCATGATGAATCACGATGTAGCTTCTGAGGTTTGTTATTAAGCAAGGTGTACTATTATATGGATCATCTGATTCAATAACACATGTGTCTATTGTAATAAAACGTGACATGTCCTTCTGCTGCCTTGTTGTGTTAAACATGATAATTTTAACCTTGCAGATCACTTCAATTTTTTTTAAAATATTAACTTGACCAATACCTTGACATTTTGTGGTTTCCGATAAAATTCTTGAAAGTTCAATGTAGCAGGTTTTCAATTGAGACCCCCTAAAAAAAATTCTATGACTTTTATGTTGGTTCATTCATTAAGGATGCATCATTGCTTCTCAACTATGTTGCATGGATACCGGTATGGGTGTGGGTACAGGACACGGCAAATTTGTAAAAGGTAGGGTACAAAGACGTGGTTATATAAATATTTATATACACATACATTATATATTGAAATTAATAATTTATACGAAAAGTAGGATGATATTTACATTCCTATAACGATTTTGTGTTTCTTTTATAATGTGGATTATAAATTGGAAAATCACTAGTTTTTGAAAAAGACCCTTCAAAATCATAATTCGAAGCCGACTTATGTGCAACGGGTTTCAAGAAGTGGTTGTGAAGTGTAGGATATATGTCCAAAAATACGTGACAAGTGTTTTAAATTAAAAACATTTCTTGTATAGTTGATACATGCCCGAATAAATGTATGCATATATGCAAGGAGTGTCCAAGGAGTTTGGGTACGGGAACGGATACGTGTCAGGTAAGGGTACGGCTTCAGATTAGAAGTATTCAGGTAACATAGCTTCTCAATGAACAAAGACATTATTCATTATTTATGCTATACATAACTTTAGATTATCCTTGCTGCCCTAATATTCGAAATAGTATTATTTGTTCTCAGATGATAAATATAACAGTACACCTTGGAAACTCTCCTTAACCAAATGATGTTCCCAAAAATTAAAATTTGATATTCCCTTGTTTGTGCAAGTGCAATTCAGTTCACGCTGCCTCAAAGTCTTTCCGATGCA